GGAGTCAAACAGGTGATTAATTTCCTGACAGTTTCACAGAGTGGATTGGAAGGGACTTCAAAGATCATCTGGTTCCAACCCCTTTGCCATGAGGAGGAACACCTTCTACCAGACCAGGTTGCTCAAGGCCCCATCCAACCTGGTCTTGAACACTTCCAGGGATGGGGCATCCACAGCTTCTCTGGGCAACCTGTTCCAGTGCCTCATCACCCTCACATGGAAGAATTTCTTCCTAATATCCCCCATGCTTTATGCTTTTAGTATAAAGGCATTTAAATTGTGTCTCCAATGAAGCAACTTGCTGGTGGGAGAGGCTTAAATTCCTCTGTGCTGCCCTTCATGTGCTCTCCTGTTGACCTGCAATGCCTCTCCAGGCTTTGGGCATCTCTTGCTGGCATCAAACTGATTTTATGTATTTCAGATTTTGCACAACTGCAACACTCAATAAACTTAAACCGTTTTCTAAAGTGTGAACTCACTACACATGTGATGGCCAAGCTTTGCTTCTATTTCACCAGGCCCTGCTTTACACTGGCAGAAGTGGGAGTGCTTAAGGTGTTTTTACAGTGTTCATCACCATGGTAACAAAGTACTTGATATTTACTTTAGGCATAAATGAAACCTTTACAGGTTGAATTTCAATCTTTGCTGCTTGATTTGTGCCTAAAATGGAAGTATGTGAAGTACTAAAGGTCCATTTTTTCAGATATTTTTTTTCTTCTCTCCCTGCTTTCTTCCCAAGTTTGTGCTCATGAGTTTGTGCAGACACAGCTTTAAGGGGTTTAAGAGTTTAATAAGACTTTGGTGTGGTGTTCTGTTCTGAAACACATTGAAAAACCTAGTTTTTTAAATTGTGTTTGTCTCTTTGGAAGCTGTTTCTCTGCCTTTTAAGCATAATTTCTGTAGAAGTGTACACACATTATGAACACAGCAAGCTTGCTCATCCTACTTATGTTTTTAGTACTTTTGCTGCTAGTTTTCTAATCAGCTGAAGTGTCACATCAGAAATAGGTGGTTTGTTATTTTCAATTGTCTTCGGCATCCTGAATGGAAGCTGTTGGGCAGCTTTGCTTTCCTTATGGGAGGGCTGAGCTGTAGCTGTGCCAATGTCACCCATGACATTCTTGCAGTGCTCATTTGATAAAATTTGTAGTGTGGAAAAGGAAGGGCTTTAAAAGTTTGGGTTCATTTTGGGGCACAAACGTATTTATCATCAATGTATTTGCATGGCATCGCTCCAAACCCTTTCCTCACATCTATAATAATGTGTTTGAGAAATTGATGATTCCAGAAACTTCTTCAGATTTGTATTTCCCATTGTAATCTTTCTGAAGTACAAATCACTTTTGTCTGAAAGCTGTAGAAGAACCATACTAGCAGGCAATGCTGTCTTTTACAAGGTTTGAGTTGTAAAAGTAATAGCAAAATACTATACATTCATGAAAGCATGCCCATAGTTTAAAAGACTGTATTTTTTCAGATTTTCCTTATTTGGAAGCTAATTTTGATGCTTAATCTGTGTTTTAAAACTTAACTGAGCAGTAATGTAGACCATCTAAAATCCTGTTACCTCTTAATGTAAAAAGTGAAACAGTTGTTCAGTAGCAGCCCTCAGAGAAGCTGCTGCATCCTAGTGTGGGGTTTTCTTAATGCTGCTGCTGGTTTGCTCCTTGTATGAGAAGGAGTTTTGGATAGGTTCGGGCTACTACACCTTCCAACACCTGAGTGTGTTTACTTAAAGCTTCAGGAGGTGAGAAGTCCTTGAGCATGGGAAATCAGTCAGTGGGGAGAACCCAGGTGCATTTATTCACCCTTTACAGGTGGAATTTGAAGTGCCTGATGTCCCTCACCTGTGGCTGTTTGTGTGAATACCCTTTTATATACAGCTTTTTGTACTCGTAAAATACAGCTACATGGTGAACAAAATGTATTAGATATGTGAGGTAAGGAGAAATTCTTCTGGATAGTGTGTAAGGATATTTAGGTTATGCTTTTTCATGCCAATCACCTTCAGGTTATGTTGTTAGCAAGGATTAAAACTTACTGTATTTCTGATAAATACTTTGCAGTACTCAAAGTACTGCTGTTTTGGTGCAAATTCTTGAGTGTGAAGCACTCTCTTGTTTTTCACAGCAGAGATGAACTGCTCTGGTCTCTGTATCATGAGATAGGATGAAGCCAAGTTAACAAATGAGACCACCTTGTGCCCTTCAGGGAAGTTTCAGCCTTGCTGTGAAGCACTGATAAGACCACAAGGCTGGTGGCTGGTGTGATTTTGGGGGTACAACCACACATCTGCTCCGTAGGCAATGGCTACATTCCGAGTATCTGATTTAACTCAAGGTGAATGGTGATAGGAGGGCTAAATATAACCTTTCTGTTGGAATGCTCTTATTTCCCAGAGTCTTGCAAAATCTAGGGAAATTTGTCTGTAGCTGTGTGCATGAGGAACAGAACGTGCAGTGCTCAAAGGGCAGCTGATGAAAGGGACTTGTTCTACCTCAATTGCTCCTTGCTTCCAGAGTTCACCAGGCTCTGAAAACACATAAACATGGCCCCAGGGGTTGCCTGGCATTGGCAAGGCGTAACTGGCATGTTCATCCCTTTCCTCTGGCTTTCATCTTCCCACCTCCCAACACACAAGAGTTAGCTTTATTTATGGGTTGAGCCTAGTAATAACTTTGGTTTGAAGAAAATATCTGTGGGCAAAGCGTGGCTCCTGAGGCTGTGTCTGTGCAGGAAAATAAAGGTGAAGTTGCAAATAGGCAAACAAGCCCACACTCTCTTCAGTCTAGCTGGCAGGATGGCAAGGGCAAGGAGGGTAAAATTTGTGCCTTCTGTAGACCCTTGGTCTCTATGCTGATGTTGCCCAGCTGTGCTGCTGGTGGCTTTACTGCTACTATTAACCAGGCTCCTGCTGTATATGCATATAATCCTGCTGATACACATATGATATACACCCTACCTGCAGATTAAGTCTTCTTGGCTCTTTTTAGGTGCAGTGGAATTAAAAAAAGTAGGAAGAGAGGTAGATACTGAGTGCTGAAACCTGCTAGGTTCTTGGGATTCCCACATTTTTGGGTATCTGTCCTGGGTGCACATAATCAACAGCCTTAGCTCTGTGCTAGCGTAATGTGACAGACTGAGCACTGAGAGTGAAGAGTGGTGTGTGTTTGGAAAGAGCATATGAACTCTCTTCTCCTTCCTGGATTTGTTAGGTTTGAGCTTATCTTTACAGTTCCTTAGCAACCTTATTTGTTTTCAGTAAGTGCTTTCTGGGTTTGATTGTGAGAGTTTCCCTCCACCACTGGCTGTGTTGCAGCTGGGGAGGGCTAGAAAAGAGCAAGAAAAGAGGACATGGCAGACACATCAGGTATCACACTGACTGCTGCTCCTTCAGCCAGGGGAAAAAAAAGCTTGTTGTAGATGGTATTAAGTATGAGGGAGCAGAGTAAGGAGACTAGAGCAGAACTCTGTTACGGACATTTTCATTATTAAAGAGAAGAAAGTAGAAAATGTTAGCTGTGCATAATATATATAACATAGCCATACATAATACATGTTAACATGTGTATTACACATGGTGCAGAGAGTTCTCCCCTGTCTCCTAGTGCAATTTATCTCCTCCCTTTGAACTTTGCTAAAGTGCCTCTAGCAGTACTGACACATCCCAGATGCAATCCAAAAACATAACTGAGAAATAGGTCAGTTGCATCAGAAGTCGGGTTTTCTAAAAAGGTACAAGGAAAAGAGACATGAGGTTTCTGAATGTGAAGTCTCTGTAGGACTGCCTTTCTAAATGGATGAATGTTACAAGTTAGCAACATGTCTAACACTATATAGGAAAAACAGCTTCTCTGTCACTACTCTATACAGAACACAGTGAAAAATTTGTAGGTAATCTGGGATTAAAATTTGTCCTAAATAACATGGGCATCATCTACCCAAAGCAATCAGTGAACACAGCACATGTTCTCTGATCAACAAATTTCTAAGGCATCTCTTCTTCTTTTCTTGTTTTGCTTGACTTTTGGTGATATTCTGTTTACTCGATCTTCGGTGGATAATAATGAAGTAACTCAGGGGAAGTAGGCATCAAGTTTTTAGCAGAATTTAACAGGGAGTATGTATGGCAAATGACAAAATCTCATTTTCTTCCAACTTTCCCCCTTGACAATGCCTTGACTTAATTCCTTCTGTGATGCAACACAACACCTATGAAACCTGGATTTCTCACTCCATCCAGGATCCTGAAGTACACCCATATGGGCCCTCTCTTCTGTTTTGATGGTTGCAATTTGTTCCTCTTGATTTCTTTCACCCTCTCACAGCCTCTAAAACAAACCTGACAGAGCTGCAATGCCCTTTTCCCACTGTTTGCCCAGACCACCTCTTTATGCTGGTAAGAAGTTTCTTGTCTTGTCTTGTTTAAGCACAATAAACTGTATTTTTCACAAATACAGTGCTGCAATGCAAAGTAAGGTGAACTTCAGAATCTAGGTTTCTCTCCCTGTTTCCCAACATTTAGATGTATTCACTGGAGAAGGCAGTGCTCATCAGGCATGCAGTGGAAGGGCTGTCACTTGAGGCAGAGCTCTGTGATCAGTTCTAAGGCTGCTTTAGGTACTGGCATTATTTTCCCCCCTTTTCATTCTGCAAATTTAAACCACTGATCTCTGCTGCTGGCCTCTGGGCAGGAGAATTACTGATGCTGCTGTATGTCCTGGAATTACTGCTGCAGCAGAGACTATCTGTTAGTTGTAGATAGGCTTGCTGGGGCCCAAGGTCGTCTGCTGCCAAAAGATAGTTTAAAACCTTTTTCCCTCTCCACTTGTTTTTCAGATAAAGGCATGGTCCTAGGTCAGGCTCCTTGTTTTCCTAATTCAAAGAAGTCCATGAGTAGTTGCATCTTTTCAACTTTGATTGCAATTTACTAATATTTCTCTTCTGAGCTCCTTGGCCTAGAAGTTGCTCTCTCCTCTGGAGGAAGGTGAGGAAGGGACTGCAGCGATGAGGAGGAGGAAGATTCAGGCAAAATGTCTCCTCTCTCCCCTGGTGTGTCATGTTCTTGCATGTGATGGAAACTGAATGCAACAAAGAAATGTGAGATATTGGGCAGTATAAATTCACCCAAAACATCTCTGAGCAAAGTTCTCATGAGCCTCTCACCTGTTTGGTATGAGTCGCTGCCAAAGATGGGCAGTCACAGCTGCTGTATCAGGGAGTCTGTCTTGGGACAAATTGCTGCAAAGAATGTGATGTAGAACTTGCACTCACCTCCCATTGCTGCCATTTAATTTATTTTTTTCAGTTTAAAAGAGACTATTTTGAAGAATTAATGAGGCTCTCCAAACAGCACATGCAACATGCCAATAAACACTGAAGAGCTTTTCATTCATAAGAGGCAATAGACTTCAGCTCCTGTTGACTTATTTTGCACTCAGGAATCATTCCTTGCTGAACAGTGTTATCTGGAAGAAACATGAGACAGGGCTTATATGTTACGTTTTGAAAAGAAGTTTCACAAAATAAAAGTAGATGCTTCTTTTTTGTTGTTTAATTTTTTCCTTTTTTCTCCAGACATGCTTGAAATACCTAAGAGGCTCTAGGATCTTGTAGGGAAAATAGTGGTATGACACAAATGTGTTCTGTAGTTGATGAGTGAGGGGTTTATCTTTGTGCTTCAGATCTTGCCTCTTCAGGGCTGTGCAGAACAGCTCACTTGAAGAAAGATTCAGAGGCCTGGTAACTGCTAAGCACTTCTCTCCTTCCTTCCAGAGAGAGAGGGATACCCACCCTTCCTGCCATTAGCCCTCTCCAGTTTCTCAGAAGCAGTAGGTCATACATAATAATATTTCTTTAAAAAACCAAACAAACTCACAAACCAAACACTTTCTAGATAACACCACATGGGGAGTGCCGCAGCAGTGCTGACATAAGGAGCTAGGGAGGTGCAGCTGTTTGTGGGACTGGCAATCAAGTCAGGGAATTGAATTCACTTGAAAAGGCAGGCAGGGGAGAGGGAAGGGGCTGTGCTTTGCTTTGAAGCCTGGCTCAGATCCCTAATCCAGCTCACAGCACAACTGGATGTGCACTGCTGCGCTGGGGAGGCAGCAAAAGGCTGGGGGTGGGATAGGACATGTAAGGGAATGCCTGCCACTTGAGTGCTGTTTACAGCAATATCAGTAACACAGCACCCAAGTTTGAGAATTACTACAGTTCTGAGTTTTCTCTTAAGGAAATGAATGGGGTTTGAGACCTATATTTGCCAGTAAGCTTCATAACGGCTTTCCCTGTGACGGTCTCTTAACACCATTTTACAGAAGTGATAGCAAAGGTCAACCAAACGGATTTGCTTTGGGAACAAAGATAAAATGTGGAAGTAGTGTATTCCTTGTTGGTGTGGTCTCTGTTGGTGGTTTCCATGTACCTTCCTGTGGCTGACGCCTTTGCTGTCTGCGCTGTGGTGGAGCTGGTACAGCTGTCAGCGTCACTTGGTCAGGAAAAAGTTGACTTAAGTGGAACCACTGATGATTTTTCATTTACTTTGCAAAGAAAACCTCTCAGAAATGCTGAGCTTTTTTCAACAAAGACCAATATCAGTTGAAAGAAAGATGCTAGGTCATCTCTGTGCCATTTTTAGCAGAAGAAATTGGTCCAGATTTGTTTTAAGGCAGCCTTCAAAACAGCATTCAGGAATCTTCTGCTGATTGGAAGTAACCTCCTGACAGAACTCCCTATGTGGCTTCTGGTTTAACTGGAAGGATTTTCTCCACTATGAAGATTTCTCAACATACATCTTTTTCCTCTGAGGGAAATGCTATGGAGCCATGCCATGAACAAGACTTTTTGAGCTGCACTAAGTGATTTTGATTAATGAACTTGAATAAAATATTAAGTTGGGCTTTTTCTAGTCTGAGCATGATTAGAAATACTTAATGTATGTTTTGCTTGGAAAGCCTGTGCTGCATCTTAGCATGAACCTCAAATTTTTGAAGACAGATTTGGTTATTTTCTCCAGCTATGAAAAATATTTTAAATTTCATTTAAATTTCATTAGATCTATGTTAGTCTTTTCAGGACTAAATAGCTGGTTAGGTTCTTAATTACTTTTCTTTCAATTTTTGTAAGGAAATATATTCTGTGGCCTATGTGGTTAGGTGATTGAAAGGTTTAAGCAGGTGTAGACAAAGATGTCCATGCTAAGGAAAAAGTATAGTTAGAGGAATGTTATGAAAAAGTGAAAGGTGAAATTCTTTTTCAGCATGTGAGCTGCATAGGACACAATCAAACTACCCTAAGGATGATCTCATGCATGACATTCTGTCAAAGGTAATTCTTGTTCCATTAGGGACTCATGCTTGTGGCAGGAGATTTATGCCACCTGACTGGTATGTCTGGAGAAAAAGATGTATTAAATGCTAGCAGAGAAGAAGGAAAAAGCTTGTCAAAACTTGCGGTTTATGAAAATTGTGCCAACAGTTGGTCAGAGCCAGTTTTGCTAGGGTTGTAATCAATTCTGGGAGCTGAGTTTACAGGGAAATTTTGTGGTTCTATGAAAAGGTAGAACAGGATGAACTTTTCAGCCTAGAAGGTAAAGAGTTAGTTTCCATGGGCCCAGCTCTGTCAGCAAAACAAATGTGTGTTAAGGAAGAACAGCCAAATTATTAAGACAAGGCAATAGCAGCAGTATTTTCTCACAATAAAAGCCAGGTGGCTGAAATCAGAAAGTATCTGCTCTTCTATGTCCCCTCTTGGACACTGAATGAGACACTTGGATACTTACTCAGAGACTGAACATGGCTTTTCTGAATGATGGTAACTTCTACTTTTAAAACAGACAAGCTCTAAGACCTTGTCCTTGAAGCTCTCCTGTTTACCTGCAACCATGAATTGCAGAAGAGTGTTGAACAGTCGGTCCTGGAGAACCCTGCTCCTTGTTTTCCTCGCCTTGAGGGAACCCGTAATGAGAACAGGCATTCCTCTTTGCTTGGGAATGTTACTCCGCCTTTGTGTTTTGTACATGCCAAGAAGTACTTGTGTGATTAAGGTGGTTTGTTATTTTAGATCGATAGTCTGGGTGTGGGATACATCCAGTTTCCATGGGCCAGAAAATCTCAGTGAGCTCACTGCTGCTCTCACTTCCTGCTGAGGGAGAGATCTCAACAGGATCACTAAGGTTTAGCAGTTGTGTGAATAAAGATATCTCCAAGATTAATGTTGTCATGTGAACAGGAACCTTCTTTTTCCAAACAAATACACTGGTGTTTCATAATCTAGGAGAAAAATAAGCTGTTTGAAAAATGGAATTTCTCAGAATCACAATATTTGCAAACTTTGTGTTGTTCAAGGTCAGAATATAAAGGCCAAACTTCCCATTGTATGAAAACTCTGGGGAAAGGAGAAAGTTGATTTGTCACCATCAAAACATTCATACCTTTATATTAGGTATAATATTGCCAATAATGCAAATATCAATCTTACTCTTTCATAAGTTGAAGAAAAAGAAATTCAGTTTAGTAAAAGCACAATGCTTTACTTTGACATTCTTACTTCTACAAACTTTGAATTTCCACCCGTGTCACAAGACATAAAACAGCTACACTCAATTAGCACCAAGAATCCTTTTCATCTAAGGGCGTGATTTAGACACTTCTTTTCCCAAAGGTAAGACTTATTTCTTACATGCTGGCTGGGTTGTCCCTGTGATTTCCTTGTATATGAGAAAATTCACTGCAGTGTTTGTGGTAGCACTGAAATGACTTTGTGCTTCACCCTGGAAGTTTAAAAGGAGCATTAAGCCTCCACTAAGTTCCTGGTACTTTGGGAAAGAGTATGAGAACAGGGAGAAACTCAGTGGAGCCTTATTTCAATACCTCTCCTCTGATTTCCCAGTATAATCAACATTTTGAAAAGTTCCTGAGCTGGAAGTAATCTTTTTGTTGTGTTTTGTTGTTACTGCATCTTTCTTTTATGACTCTTCCTATTGTTTGGTTAATGCAATTTTGGCATCTTAAATACTCTATATTGGTTTGTTTAATAATTTAGTTTTGTTGAGTGGCACAGAAGTTACTGGGTTAAACTCGAGGTCTGATCATATTCTCAGATCTTCCTTAGATCTTTTAGTTGAGTATTATCAGATAAACATTTCCCTTCACCTGTTTCATGCCTATCATGACTTTACAGGCCTCAGTTTCCTTACTGATTTCTTTCCCAAGCCACGTCTTGGGAAAATTTGAATGTTTTTCACACAGACTGTAAAACAGGACAAATATTGCTTATTTGTCCTCTTTGTACTCTTTCAAGTTCTCTTGTGTTCTTTCTGAGAAGAGAATTGTGTGTGATTGTGAAAAGGTATTTTTACATGACTAATTCCAGCTTGCACAACACTTTCTTTTTTATTTTCTCTTCTTAGATTGTTGCTCAGATGGAGGCTGAATATTTATGTTCAGCCTTGTCTTGGCAATGCCAATGCCAGCAGATGAAAGAGCTGCAGAAACAGGAGGACCTTTCCAAGAAAGCTGCAGCTGGGGCGTTTGCGCAGCTCCAGACTTGCAAATGCCTTGCTTAGGGACATGGCTTAGTAGTGGACAGGGCAGGAATATTTTTACAGTTGCACTCAGTGAGCTGAAAGGTCTTTTCCAACCTCAATGATCCTATGATCCTATATGCCAGTTAGACACTGTTTAGGGGAGCTAAGTTCTTCCATAACTTCCATAATGAAGTTTGATGTTGTAAAGATGACTGGCACCTGCAAAGATATCTATAAGATTATTGGGAAGTTGCATTTTAATGCTCCACAAGTTTAATGTATTGTTGTTATGTACAAACAATGAACAAAACTGACATCTTTTTTTTTTAAAAAAAACCCAAACCACTGAGATCTTGCAATTGCAGTAGAAAGGGAAAAAGTCATCCTGATACTCATAGTCAAAAAAGAAACCAAATGTTAAGAATTAGTATGAGGAAATGAGTACAAGGAAAATTAATAGAGTATAAAAATGTCCTGCTGTATAAATCCAAAGTGTGCCCATACTCTGCCTGCTGTGTGCAGTTCAGCTCTCCCTGTCCTCCACCTTGAAAAGGGCTGTAATAGAACTATTTCAGAGAAAGCCAGATGTGATCTTAAGCTATGAAACAACTTATACAGGAAGAACATATATGTTTTCTGCTTGGAAAGGCTATAACTGAAAATAAATATTGCAAAAATACAGGAATTCATGGATGGTATGGAGATCACAGAATCATTTAGGCTGGAAAATACCTTGAGGAGTATCCAACCATTTATTAACCCAGCACTGCCACATCCAACACTAAACCATGTCCCAAGTGCCTCATTCACTCATCTTTTAAATACCTCCAGGGATGGTGACTCAACCACTTCCATGGGCAGCCTGTCCAATGTTGGACAACCCTTTTTGTGAAGAAATTCTTCATAATACCCAATCTGAACCTTCCCTGGAACAACTTGAGGCCATTTTTCTTGTCCCTATTGTTCTTCTATGGGAAAAGACAGTTGATTTGGGACTATGCAATGAAGAAAATAGGTGACATATAAAAGGATGCAAATTTTTAACACAGGCACTTCAGCTATGGAACTCCTGCTAGAAAATGTGAATGATAGAAGGAACTCCATTTATCATAATTCCACTAAGGCTAGGGAATACTAAGAGGAAGTTACTACTTTACTTCTTTACAAACCAGCTGTGCAGTGGAATGGTCTGTGCTGCATGAAGAGTTAGGGGGAAAGGAGGAAGACTTGACAGAAAATTTAAGGAAGGATGGGAAAGAAGATGAAAAGTGTGAGGGGTTCTGGATTGTAGGAATGAGGTGAAATGTTTTGACTCTGTGAGCCGAGGAGGTGACTTGTGAAAGGAATTTGGAGATAGAAGGACTTGGGACATAAAAAGTCACAAC